TGACAATTCCTAGACGAACGGAATAAATATGCACAACTGGAATACAATCTACCAACTATTTTTCTCATGACTGACAATATGAAAACTAAAAAAGCTCGGGAAGTAGAAAATTACCTCTGCACAGGTATAACTGTGTTGCAGATGGCCATAACTGTAAGAGAACGGATGACATCTGTAGAGCCACTGGTGATGGCATTAAGAAGTTGTTCATCTGATCAGAGAGATAAATCAAGATAGGTAAGAAACAATACTCCTTTGATGCATACTCACTAAAGCAGAGGATTAAATAACGTATACATTGATATTTTCGACACAAATTTGGTAGGGACAAAAATGAGTATATAATACACAAGATAATGAAGTCTGAAACCTTTCAAAGCATCTCCATTCTCATTCCCATAAAATATGCCACCAATACAGCATCTTCTAAATATCATTTTGTTGTCTGTCAGGGTCCCAGTTTTGTCGGTCAAAATGTACTCTACTTGCCCAAGGTCCTCGCTTATTGCTGTGCTGCCACACACAAAAACAACATAATGCAAAACATTATGAGATTAACGTGTTCAAAGCAGGTGAATCTGAAGTAGTCTGCCACTAACTTACTTCGCTGCATAAGATGCTGTACCAGTCTCTTGATCTATCATCTCCACATCCCATTCTATAAATTTTGCATAAAGGCCCTTGACAAGATCTAGAGACACCTGCCACATCACATCAACCGGATGCTTAGCAGAAATAGGCATGTAAATTTTATATAAATTCTATTATATTCAGATCAACGTTGTTCCATAAAAGATGATCATTAATCCCCTATTTGCAATCCAGTATCCTTTCTTTACCAAGACATCGCTTAATGCATTATATATGCCACTCCAGATCCAAAGAAAATGCCACCAGATTTTCCACATAGTATAGCAAGGACGTTATAACTACCTTAATGGAGATGGGTATCATGATGGAACATAGAAGCTCAAACCGCAAAGGGATTACAAGCAGCTCATACCACGGGGCTTCCTCTGGATACTGCACATACCATTGCTGAAAAACACAACAACCAAGTTCGTATAGCTCAGAAATGACCCAATCATACAAAAAGAAGAATAAAAGATCTATTGTAGACATGACACCGTATGAGGCTTAGGCAGGAATCTAACCTTCCTTGCTTCTGTATCTTTCCATACATTTCCAGCTACGCCTAGAACCATAACAACGACAATTTGGAAAACGAATATTGCTCCAGTCAATTTATCAATCATTGCATCCATAGCAGTAAGCTTCGGCTCCGCTATACCCCTACTCATACCAAGCTTGGTTTCGTTGCCTGCCAAGAAGGAAAAATCATCAAAGCATTTTATCAAGATCAACTCAAATCATGCAACTGACCAGCTATATTCAGAATGCATGGTCCTGAAAGTTAAACATCTATTAAAATTTATAAGAAAATAATACCTGTATAGACAGATACTCCACAAGCCCATTCTGTATTTCTCAAGTAACAGGACTGAAGAAGAGTGTTTTTTATGGTTAAAGAACAGACGTCATTGTCAATAAATGGTGGAAATAAGCGCATGTTTGCATCAAATCTTCGAATGTCCTTATCTGGAATAGGACATTCAATCACACCCTGGAAACATAGATAAAAATCCATTTATAGGAAACAACATGGAAAGCCAGGAACAATATTATTATTTACACGGAAACTTACTTTCATTTTGTGTAGCAATTCTAAATCAATTCCCACACACGCTGAGGGTATGACTCTTGTTTTGAGATCAGTCTCACCGTCTAAAGCAGCAGTCTGCATGTATGAATTCAGTCTTTAAGAGAATCTGAAAGTACTCAAGAAAGGCTCCAGCATCAAGCTGTCAACTAAATTGTAGCATATATCAGTTACATGCAAGACAGGAGTGTACCTCTACATAGCAAACACCTTGTGGATCAGAGGTACCAAGCAAAACCAGATCACATGGAACTTCATCATTCTCTCGCAACCAAATAATATTGCCAACCTGAATGTCTTGTGCTTGGACCTACAAGAAAGATACTGATACAGCTAAGCAAAATTATCACCTAAAATCAACCAAGACAAAAATCTTGCAACAGTAATTCATACATGCTTCTTGATCCCCTGTTTCACGATCCAAACTTCTTTCTCATTTGCTTTCTTATCTGAGAGATACCTGTGGTAATCATCCCAAGCTTCTTTGGAAGCAGAGACCGCAAATATGAATATTAACGGACCCCATGTACTTGCAGGATTTACAGGGGTGATAAGGGACCATAGCTGAAGGCATGCAATCAACAAAAAATACTGGTTCATGAAGCGGCTGAAAAAATAGAGATACAAAAGCTCGATCAGAGAAGACGAAACAAGAAGAGAAGGGAAATGATAAACGTTCTAGAATATTAGACCCGTAAATTAATTGAATTATCACCTGAATTGCTCCCATAAATTCTTTGGAAGAAAATTCCACAATGTATACTTTCTGTTAGATATACGGTTATCACAACAAAGCTCTTTCGAAGCTTCGTCATCGTTAATGTAGACAAAACGCTTCATTGCTTTTGCTTGGAAGCAAAAATCTCTTCTAGAATCTCATCCTCAAACTCAGAGAAGCTGATTTTTGAGGTTTTATGCCCATAAACTGCAAAATATGAAAAGCCTAATCCGAATGGTTAACGCGATCCTTAACATTAAAGAGGACATTGAAATCTGAATCAAAAGCTAGTGCAGAAGCAAACCAAGCAGATAGTCACATTGCACAAAACCGGCGAATCTTAGTCCAATCAAAGAAAAATGCAGTGACGACAAAACAGTCTGAGATTTATCAAAAACTTCTTAATTTCAAAATACCAATGTTTATCGAAAGATGTGCAATGGAAGAGACGAAGCTTTACGCGTAAGCTTCATAACAAGAGCCAAGAATTCAGCAACGATAAACCCCATGGATCAAGAGGCAAAAACCCACAAGGATACAATAACAGTTTCCCTCAATTAACAAGATATAATCAAAATCAACCAACCAGAGATCTATCGAAATCGCGAGACAAATCTGATTTGATTCGATACCTCGAGATCAGAAGAAAACTCAAACATCAAATTAATTTCTCTGATATAAACTCGCGAAATGAACGAAGTATACGAAGAATCAAAATACTACTTAAAATCATACAAAGGACTATACAAGATTGAGCTCGATATTTACCTTGACGATCACAGGGAGGTCGATTTTTCGCCGGAGTTTGAGATTCCTTGCCTTGGTGCCTTTTGTTCTGCTCTGTTCAATGTTTTCATTAAGAAGAAAAGAGGAGGTAGTGATCCGCAGCGACGGTGCGTTTTGTTGACTTCCGTAGAATTTGGCCCCACCCGAGATTTGCCTGTGCCGTTTACGTTAAGTTAAGAGCACTGTTCCTTGTTTTCCTTTTCAGAAAACGGCACACATTCTGTTTTTTGCATCCAAGACAAATAATGCGGTGCGGTAAAACTAGATTTCGATTCTCTCTAGCCACCGAATATACCTCTTTGTGGACTGGACCACAATTTTTTTTTTTAATCAAGTCTTTGTAATTTCAAAATGTACATACAAACGCAACTTTCTGCTTAATATAGATTTACTTAATTTTGCACAAATCATCATAAAAATGAACAAATATATCTCAAAACAAAAAATGAAAGTACACAATTGGGCCTATAAGGAGACTAAACCCAAGACTAAGAGAATCATAACCAAGAGAGATCCAGATCACAGAACCAAGACATTCTTTTGCTATGGTCAGGTGACTCAGAATTCAGATCCATGGCGTTTCGGGTAAGCAAGTCTTCACGAGATGTTTTCGTGTTCATCCACGGTCCACCCATGGCATTTCGGTTAAGCAAGTCTTCATGAGATGTTTTCGTCGAAAACTTTTCAAGTTCATCGACGAATGTCTTTTGTGTCAAGGAAACTATCTCCAATTTGCAAGAGCCCATTTCTTGATTCACAAGAAATTCTCCTCAGAGACCGAATTTTGTCTGTAAACTAATCTCGATGCTCACCAAAAATCACCACAAGAACAAGATCCACTCCGAAAATGATGGAACCTCATATTATCTCTCATTATAATCACTCTACCTGTAACCTCCGATGCCAAACGCATGAATGTGTGACAATCTTGGCACATCCTCAGATTCTTCATTATCATGATCGTCGAATCTCTGCTCGTAGTGAGCAAAGAGAACGCTAAAGCCAGCTTCTCGGTGTGCCTAATCAGTATCAGTCTCTTCCCATCATCATTCACGTCGTAGGTCACAGAGCTTAAATCCGGTTTATACCCTAATACGGTTAGTCTCTCTACAAGCTCTTCTAACGTTTTTTGAATCTTGTTCGACATTGGATGGTTCATGTTTCCCGGGAAAAACTTATGCATCTGACCATTCTTATCTACTACCCAACTAGCCGCGGGTGTCTTCTTTAAACCCTTCTTTTTAATTAGTTTCCGCACACTTAAAACGCCGTCCCAGTCTCCAGCTGAAGCGTAGATGTTAGAGAGCAAGATATAGTTTCCGATAATGTCTGGTTCCCATTCAAACAAATGTTTTGCAGCAATCTCTGCAATGTCTGGATTGTTATGGATTCTGCACGCACCGAGCAAAGCACCCCATACCCCTCCGTGTGGCTCAACTGACATGGTTTTAATCAGCTCAAGGGATTCTTGTAACCGTCCTGCACGGCCAAGAAGATCGACCATACAAGTATAGTGATCACGCGTTGGTTCAACGCCGAACATTTGATGCATAGACGCAAATATTTGACGTCCTTGGTCTACAAGTCCTGTGTGGCTGCAAGCCGTAAGCACACCAACAAATGTAACCGTGTTTGGTTTTACTGCGGTATGTGTTACCATGTAATGGAACAGATCTAGAGCCTCTTGAGCACGACCGTGCATAGCGAAACCAAGGATCATAGAACTGTAAGAAAAGACATTCTTGTATTTCATCGACTCAAATACATTTACGGCCTCTTCAACATTTCCGCATTTTGAGTACATGTCTATCAATGCAGAACCGATAACAACGTGATCACTAGGAGAATACCCATATTTCTGAGCTATTTGAACTGCCTGATCCGCATATTTGCTTGCTCCAAGCTGTGCACAGGCCGATATAAATCCGGCGACAGTGACTTCATCAGCTTGAATTCCCGATTTCTCCATTCTATTGAAATATTCTAAAGCTTCCTGCGGTTTAGCGTTCTGCGCGAATCCTGTGACCATGGCTGTCCAAGCCATCATGTCCTTACTAGGCAAGCTTTCAAACAGTTCCGCTGCAGATTTCATATTCCCAACTCTCGCGTACGCTGCTATAAGCTCTGTCCACGTTATCACATCTCGTTCAGGCATTTCATCAAACACCTTACGCGCACAATCAATAGACCCACACTTCACATACATATCGATCATCGTGTTCCCAACGTATACACAACAAAAACCCCTAAGTCTAAACGTCTGTGCGTGAAACTGCCGACCCAAATTCAAATCTCTCACCGAACCACAAGCTTTCAAAAGAGCAGAGAAGGTAAAAGAAACAGGCGTAATCCATTCTTTCCTCATACATCCATACATAGAGATAGCTTCCAAAATATTACCTTCAATCGCATACCCACGAATCACTGCGGTCCATAGAAACGGGTTCCGGAACTGAACAGGCTCGATCACACGGCGAGGATACGGATCCATTGGAACGCCGAGCTTAGTAAGCGTGCGAATTAGCTTGGTGATAATGTAGCAACTTTGATCAAGACCTTTTCGGATAACATGACCGTGAACTTGCTTGATTTGGTTAAGACCGGCGCAATCATCGAGCGTCGAGATTAGGGAAGACACAAGTTGTTCTCTTTGACGACTGATCTCTGAAAACGTATCGGAATTGCTGGTCCTTCCCAGCTGAAGCAGTTGTTTCGAGAGCAGGCTAATGTCAATAGGTTTTACCGCCGTCGAGAATCGGCGAGAATGAGCCACCGTCATCGCCGAGACGTCCCGGAGCTCGCGCTGAGTCTCGCCGTCATTACCGCTTTCGGATCATTAGTAAACCAAAATGCAGCTATGGTACTTAATAACCAAAATGCACCTATGGATAGTGTTCTCTCTTGTGTGTTTTGATCTCGGGCCTTTTCTGTTGAAGAACAAGCCCATTAGAGTTATGTCAAGGCCCATAAAGAGTTTCAGACAATGAGCGGTGGATCACGTATTTTCAGACACCTGTCGAAAAAGAAAGCTGAAAGATGGAATTAAGTGGGCCCCGAAGTCAGACAAAGACCCCAATAGAAAGAGAGTTTACATATTTCAACAGCAAACCTTTCGTTTTGTCAAGAGCGGAAAAGTTGTTAAACCG